TGAAGTTCAAGCCCATCAGCTGGTCCTCGGAAGAAAGATGAGACTTTCTGCTCTCATGAAAATGTAAAGCCTTGGAAACCCTATACAGGGTCCATATGAGTCAGAACCGACTTGACAGCACCTAACAACAGATAAATGTGGAAATTAGCCAGTGTTGTCATATAGAGTCAGGCTTGGTTTAACGTTACATGTCCAAAGTCACACAATCAATATATAGGACAGACTCAACTTTTATCCAAGGCCCTCTAGATACCAAAGCCAAGGGCCCTAGAAAGATGGATACACTAATAGTTCTTAGACAAGTAGTAAAGTAACGAGAGAAGTTGAGACACAAACTGAGAATAGAATGAGGAATGATTGATCCGGAAGTGGCAGAGTTTTTATATCATATATTTATTGTTGTAAAATATCTATGTGACACAATGTTTGCCAACTTAACATTTTAAGGGGTACATTTTAGTGATATTAATTATGTTAAATATGTTCTTCAACCATCACTATAAACAGAAGCCATGTTGTTAGGTGCCCCACACAGGGTTTCCGAGGAGCACCTGGTGGGTTTGAATCACCAACCTTGCTGTTAGAAATCCAGTGTTTATCCTACAGCATCATACCAGGGCTCCAAGTAGAAGAAATCTACTAGTCCCTAAACTTTCATTGTTTTCTCCTCCCTGCTATACCTGACTACCGCTAATGAATTCTGGTCAGTATATATTTGCCTATTCCTTTTTTTTTTTCCATAAAAGTGAGGCCATGCATTATTGCGACATATATGTATTGTTATGGCTGTGAAGTACAAGCCTTTGCATGTCAGTACCATATTGTATTTTTCCATTCATCCAGTGTTGGTTGTTTAGGTTGTTTATCCCCTTTGGCTGCAATGAACACGGGTCTCTTCATTGTTGCTTACAAGTCTCTCAAGTATGTGCCTAGGAGTGGAATCACTGGTAGCTCTGTGTATTGCTTTTAATGGAACCATAGAAGCAATAGTTTCTGAACTGCTAGCTACTATTTGGGGAAGCAGCTAAATACAATAAATTGTAGCAAAAGAGAGAAACGGCATATATATGCCATGACAATATAAGACAGTGTCATGTCAAAGTTCAGAACTCTATGTAAATTTCTCATTTGTAGGCTGTTGTTGTTGTTAAGTGCCGTTGAGTCGATTCTGACCCATAGCAATCCTGTATAATGTTTCCAAGGAGCAGCTGGTGAACTTGAACCACCAACCTTGTGGTTCAAACGACTTTGCGATCTGACACATTAACTCACAGCGCCACACCAGGACTCCATTTATATGGTTAGTAATGTTGTTGTTGTTGTTGTTGTTGTTGTTGTTAAGTGCCATCGAGTCAATTCCAACCCATAGCGACTCTGTATAGGGTTTTCAAGGAGCAGCTGGTGAGCTTGAACCACCAACCTTGCGGTTCAAACGCCTTTGCAGTCTAATGCGTTAGCCCACAGCGCCACACCAGGACTCCATGGTTACTAATAGCCAGGGTCAAATGCACAAGGAAAAAAGTTGCCGCAATAAACATTAGTTTCAAGACTATCACCAAAGGCATCCAAGAAATAGTTCATCTGTCACATTTCTGTTGGTGATGGAAAAGCAGACAGCATTCACCTAAGAACATATGCAATTTTCATTGAAGATAATACATTAATTCCATTGAAAATTTAAAATGTACTTAATATTGTGGTATTACATTTTATGAAATGTATATTAATGTCTTTCTAGGGCTTATTTTATTTTATTTTTCAAATATACTCTCAATGCCAAATGAAAACTTCAAAAAGATACTTGAAATATAAATTCAAGTCCTTCATGAAAATAAGGCAAGAGTGATATACTACAAACAGCCATCAACCTGGTGTATGTTTTGACCTTTTATACCTTCCAGGGAATGAGGGGAGATGAAGATATTTAAAAAAAAAAAAAAAAATTGTTAAAGATGCTTTATTGGTAGACCAAAAAATTACACTTAATTGATTTCTTTATACAGTTTTGAATTCCAGATTTAAGAACACCTCTTCCACCTGCTGCTGTATATTGTGGAGATGGTTCTGACTCCTAGCAACCCTGTGTAGGCTTTCTGAGGCTGTCAACTTGACTGGAGCAGAAAGCGTCATCTTTCTCCCAGGGAGCCTCTGCAGAATTCCAACTGCTGACTTCTGGTTGGCCGTCCAACACGTAACCCACTATGCTATCAGGGCTCTTTCTGCCTCATACTAGTGAACAACAAAGGAAGCATGGCATGAAATACATTCTCTAATCAAGTAACCTTAGCCGCTCGTAGTAAGTGTAGTGGAGTCCTGGTGTGGTGGTGCAGGATCATGCAATGGATCGCAAGGTCATCACCAGCTGCAACTCAAAATCCCTTTACAGGATCTCTATGAGTCAGAACAGACTTAAAGGCACTTAACAACAAAGTCAGTGGAGCATCCTTGTTGTGGTTGTTAGGTGCCATTGAGTCGGTACAGACTCATAGCGACACTGTGCACCACATGGGCCAACCTCACAATTTTTGCCATGCTTGAGCCCATTGATGCTGCCACTTTGCCTATCCATCTCACTGGGAGTCTTCCTCTTTTTCTCTGACCCTCCACCCTACCAAATGATATCCTTCTCCAGCAACTGGCCCCTCCTAACAATATGCCTGAAGTATGAAAGACGAAGTTTGGCCATCTTAGCCTCCAAGGAGCACTCTGGCTGCACTTCTTCCAAAACAGATCTATTGGTTCTTTTGGCAGTCCATGGCACTTTTAGTATTCTCCAATACCATAACTCAAAGGCATCAATTCTTCTATGGTCTTCCGATTCACTGTCCAGCTTTCGCATCCATATGAGGTTACTGAAAATACCATGGCTTGGGTCAGACGCACCTTAGTCCTCAGGCTGACATCTTTGCTCTTCAACACTTGAAAAAGGTCTTGTGCAGCAGATTTGCCTAATGCAATATGTCATTTAACATCTTGACTGCTACTTTCATGTGTTTTGATAATTGATGTAAGAAGAATGAAGTCCTTTACAACTTCAGTCTTTTCTCCATTGATAAGAATGTTGTTTATTGGTCCACTGGTTAGGATTTTTGTTTTCTTTCCATTGAGATGTAATCCATACTGAAGGCTGTGCTCTTTGATCTTCATCAGTAAATGTTTTAAGTCCTCTTCACTTTCAGCAAGCAAGGTTGTATCATCTGCATATCACAGGTTGTTAATGAGTCTTCCTCCAATCCTGATACCACATTTGTCGTCCTATAACCCAGTTTCTCAGATTATTTGCTCAGCATACAGGTTGAATAAGTATGGTGAAATAAAACAACCATGTCACACACCTTTCTTAATTTTAAACCCTTCAGTGTTCCCATGTTCTTTTTGAACAGCTGCTTCTTGGTCCAAGTACAGATTCCTCATGAGCACAATTAAGTGTTCTGGAATACTCATACTTTGCAGTGTTGTCCATAGTCATGATCCACACAATCGAAAGTCTTTGCGTACTCAATAAAGCACAGGTAAACATCTTTCTGGTATTCTCTCCTTTTTAGCCAAGATCCATCAGAAATCAGCAATGATATCCTTCATTCCACATCCTCTTCTGAATCCAGCTTTAACTTCTGGAAGTTCTCTGTCAATATATGCTTACAGCCATTTCTATATTACCTTTAGTAAAACTTTACTCGCATGAGATATCAAAGATATTGTCCAATGATTTCTGCATTCCATTCGGTCACCTCTCTTTGGAATGGGCACAAATACGGATCTCTTTCAATCAGTTAATTCTCCAGATTTCTTGGCATAAATGAGTGAGTGCCTCTTGTGAAGCTGCCTCATTTGCTTGAAAGATATCAATTTTTATTCCATCATTTCCTTGAGCCTTGTTCTTTGCCAATTCCTTCAATACGCCTTGGATTTCTTCCTTCCATATCATTGGCTCTTGATCATATGCTACCTCTTGAAATGGTTGGAAATCAACCATTTCCCTTTGGTACAGTGACTCTGTATAGTCCTTCCATCTTCTTTTGATGCTTTCTGCATCATTCAATAATTTGCCCAGAGAATCCTTCGATAACGAAAGTTGAGGCTTCAATTTTTTCTTCAGTTCCCCCAGCTTGAGGAATGCTGAGTGTGTTCTTTCCTTTTGGTTTTCTGACTCTAGATAGCTGCATCCTTGTTGTACGCTATAACAAATGCTCAGAGTACCATTACATACTGAAGCTCAAAGGTAATCAGTGGTTGTTCTCCTCTGCTTCCCTGTATGACCACGTGCTTCACAATTTAATTATTATTTTTGATAAGGGAAGAAACATCCCTTTTATTAATGCAATGATGGATTTCTTTTAATCTTCGTTTGACTGATGCTGAACAGCTCTCAAAACCTGCATCCTCTTCCCTAGGTATAATGCATCAAGACCAGTATTTTATCCATGAAAGTGGGACTCAATTTATTAAAGAGAAGCTTTTAATCTTTGTATATCCTGCTTGGCATGCTGGATTTTATTGAACAGCTGAGTTTCACAGACAAGGACTAGGTATTTCTTCAAAGAGTCTGATGAAATGCTCTAATTCATTTTCTTCTGAAATTGAAGCTGTTAAATTAGACACAAAACATTTATGAATTCCACTTTGCCTTTCCAGCAATTAAGAAGTTAAAAAAAAAAATCGCTTTTGAGTGTCCTGACTGTGAAATTATTATATTTATCATGAACTGTGCCTTCCATTTGTGCTATGAAATGCTTTGGGTGTTGCATTATTAAAAAGGGAGTCATCAATTCTGAGCAGGTGTAGAAAAGGGTTGCTGGATGTATAATGGTGTTCAATTCTAAAGCCATCTGAGCAATACGGAATCATTTACTGCTGTTAATTCCCACAAAGGTAGCTGACTGAGTCATAAGCCCTTGAAAGGGAGGAAGCTCTGCAGGTCTATACTGTAGGCCTCACTCCTGTTTCAGCAGGGGGAGTGGCTGTGTGACTAAAACCATCTCCTTCCTTTCTCCTTTCAGTTTTGATTCTCCTCATTGTCACCATGAGAAGGCGGAAAAAAGAGCCCCTGATTTTTGATGAAGAGAGGGACATCCGAGAAAACATTGTCCGGTACGATGACGAGGGTGGCGGAGAGGAAGATACAGAAGCTTTTGACATGGCTGCGTTGAGAAACCTCAACGTCATCAGAGACACCAAGACCCGGAGGGACGTGACTCCAGAAATCCAGTTCTTGAGTCGACCCACATTTAAAAGCATCCCGGATAATGTCATTTTTAGGGAATTCATTTGGGAAAGACTGAAGGAGGCCGACGTGGATCCCTGCGCGCCCCCTTATGATTCTTTGCAGACATATGCCTTTGAAGGAAATGGTTCAGTGGCTGAGTCACTCAGCTCCTTAGATTCCATCAGCTCAAACTCTGATCAGAATTATGACTACCTCAGTGACTGGGGACCTCGCTTTAAACGACTTGCAGACATGTATGGGACTGGCCAGGAGAGTTTATACTCATAGCCTTGGAACTTTCCTTTGAAATGTACTGAAGAAAACTCAAAAGCAAAAGGACACTACTTCTTGAAAATGGGAACTCCACTTGCTGGAGGAAACTACAGCTGTAAATAGGTCTCCATTTTTAATTGTTTAGGGTTCAGCCTTGGTGAAGCTTATCTTCGTTAGACTTACCCCAAGGGACTGCACTGACCCAGACTCTGAGCATTTGATGGCTTTTTGATAAAAAAAAAAATAAAAAGTGCTCAATTGTTTGTGAATAGATAGCAACTCTTCATATACCTGCAAAGGCACCTAACCTCTATGAGTAAGTAGTGTCTGTATTGTTAGTAAGTGAGCCAAGGCCCTGTACATACATGCCTTCATGGTTCTGCCAGAGAGAGGACAGGAACATGCCCTGCCAGTGAAGTCTTGGAACTTCTTGCATATCAAAACCTGAGACAAATTTAATTTACAGTCATACTTTTAACTTGCTCGCTTTTCAAGTGCATTTCATGGCTGTTGGGCAGCAAGTATGTTTTATTTAGGAATATATTAATTCTTAGGCAATCCTCCCCAAATGAACCTCCCCCTGTAGAAAGCCAGTAAAATTCAGTTGAAGGTAACATAAATCATCATTTAGCAAGTGAATGATGAACTGTTCTAAATAAGAAAAAGGTGAATCGTTTTTAGATGCTTATGTAGGTATGAAGGAAGTTGCTGTCTATTCATTGATTTTTATTATCTCTTCTGATTTGTACAGGAGAATTGTTTTTTGTTTTTTGTTTTTCTTTTTGACACATGGTGTTATATTTATTTTGGAGCTCCAATCTCCACTAAATTCAGGTCCATCTTACTGCCTCATAGTATTAAACTCATCAGAACATGTTGATTTTTCTCCAGTCTGAGCTACCTGAAGGAAATGAAGCATGGAAATGGAGAAATAATAGTAGAGCAATTGAGCCCATCGCTGTTCATACCTCAGAGAGGAGCACAGCTGTACGGACACCCGAGTTGTTCTTCAGAGCTGTTAGAATGTACAAAACCTTGGAGGAAAATATTCATACCTGGTATTTTAGAAAGAAGAGTCCAGAGAGAATGGACATTCTCTTTGATGCAAGATTTATTTTTCACACGTTCTGTATGCTCCAAAGATTTTGAGACCATGACACACACACCCCCACACACACACAAACTCTCATGTTGTAAACATCAGTCAAAGACTGAAATTTCCTTTAGATCTCAAATAATGTAATGTTAGACATTTCAAAACCAGTATTTAAATTCTGATGCAAATATGCCCCTCAGTAAATACCAAGTGATGTATAATTTTTACAACTGGTTTAGATGTGCCAAAGTGAGGAGGGTAATTTCAAATGATCACAAATGTATACATTTGAAGTGGGATTCTTAGAATAAGACTTTTATGATTAAAAAATGATATTTCTATTTATCACTTTTTTTTCCTAGACTAATTCTAGTTTGACGTGTATTTATTCGAACAAGATGGACTTTATTTTTGCTTTCTTTCTCCTTTTAAAAAGAATTTGTCATTGGGTTCCTAATAAATCTGCGCATAGTGGACGCTGTGTTGGAAAGTGTTTTCAGAAAGCACTTCTTTTTCAAAGGCATGCACTGGATCTAGAATATCAATGTGTGGACGAAACTGTAGGAGTCTGTAACTCGCAGCCCACATTTAGAAATGAAGTCTGTGAAAGTGGCCTTCAGCTTCATCAAAATAAATTATTCAAGAAATTTTATTATCTAAAAAATCCTCGAGTTTGAATAAAATTTTATAGACATTGTTTCATGATCAAATAGATATGCTTCTTGCTGTATTAATATTCATACACACATACATATATATGTTATTGTTAAGTGCTATTCAAGTTAGCTCTGACTAATAGTGACCCTATATAGCATTTCCAAGGAGCAGGTGGTGAGTTTGAACCACCGACCTTGCAATTGAAACTGGTCTTGATGTCGAGTGCTTATCCTACAGTGCCACACCAGGACTTTGATATATCTGTGAAAAATCAATTTTGTAACAGCATAAAAAGGTTCTCCACTTGTAGTCATATGTGTAACTTTTTCAAATATGTATGTAAGTTATGTTTACCAGCTTCAATACAAGCTGAGTATACTGCAGGAATTATATAGATGTTAAATCAAGAAGCTGCTGAGAACAGAGTTTTGTAATAATCCCCTTGTTGTCTGCAAGAAGATAAAATAGTACATTTGGATTGTGATGTCCAAACTGCTGATTATTGCACTAAAGGGAGGTGTGAATACATGTTTTGGAAAAGGAACATCACTCATTATGTTTCTCTCCTTTTAAAGTATCTACATTTTTTTTCCCCTTCTCTCTTTGTTTTTTTGTTTTGGTGTGTATGTGTTTTTATTATTATTATTTCATATTTGATAATAGTGGTTTGGGAAAAGAAAGACTGAAGTTTCAGTAGTGGTTTGAATTTCTTGCATATAACTCATTGCTTTTTATGTGTGGAAGATGGTTATCAGTATAGTATTGAACTTGATTTAATGGTGTTTTTAACAATTTCAAGATCAAGTTGTTTTTGGTTGTAATTTTTGTTGAAACTATGTGTTTGCAGTAATGGAAGACATGTTGAATGAAATGAAAAAAAAGTTTGATACAATTTGGTTGGTTGTATGCCGTGGAGTCGGTTCCAACTCATAGCTACCCTGTATAGGGTTTCTGAGGCTGTAAATCTTTACAGGAGCAGAAAGCCTCATCTTTCTCCCTCGGAACGGCTGGAAGTTTCGAACTGCTGACCTTAAGGTTCACAGCCCAATTCATAACCACTACGCTACCAGAGATACTTTTGATACAATTAGTGGCACACATATGTCCTGTGAGGTCTCTGGTGCTGAAGTTGTTGGGATCAGGTGCATTTACTCAGTTATATAGGTCTTCACCAGATGGCAGCACATACTAAAAGGGAGATACCAGCTTCCCAATAGACTCCAGAATTGGAAATATAGGTGGGCACTATATGCCCCATGAATCACATAAGACTAAAAAATGTGGAAATGCATACATCTCTGTCTGATACGATGCGTGAGCATATGTTTTGTTTCAAACATGGAGACCGGAATAGTTTATTAGTAAAATCCGTCTTAACAAAAGCTAGTTAAAAGAAGCCTCCAAAAACATTCAAAATGGAGATCCTGGGTCAAACAAACAATAACATGTTCATCGGCTAACCGGAAGATTGAAGTCTACTCAGACGTGCCTTGGAAGAAACACCTGGTGTGATCCAGTTTCAGAAATTCACCACTGAAAACACTGTGAAGCACAGTTTTACTCTGATACACATTGAGTCACCTTGAGCTGGAGCCAACTGTTTGGCAAGTTTCTCTGGGTGACAGGGAGTCCCTTGAATTCAGTAGTGTACTGGAGGTAGCTGGAACCAACTCTTAAGTATAGACTTGCACATCTCTTCCCGACTCCACTTTTGGTGATGTCCTTTTGATAAGTTGAAGGTAGCCACAGAGGGGTTGTTAGCAATGTAGCATTTTTTTTCTTTCTGGGAAGCAGTTGTTAAAACACTGTCTAGCATTCTCTTGCCTTTAAGTGCCGTCAGTTGGTTCCAACTCACAGCAAACCTGCAGAGTGTTTCCAAAGAGCAGTTGGGGAGTTTGAACCACCAGACCTTGTTGTTCAAATCAACCTTGAGGTCCAATGCCACTCTACTGCTTATCAGTTCACATCAGTAGTATGACTGAATAGAATATCAAATGATGATAGGAAATGAATGTATATTATATTCAATTCCTAAATGTAAATGAATGTGGTAATGATTTATGTGTATCAAATCCTTGGAGCGACACCTAAACAGAAAATCCGCTTCGTTATGAGAAACAATGGTTTACAAGTTTCAAGCACCAACAATACTTCAGGAAGACAATGAATTGAGATATTTCAGTTCATCTTTATAAGGGCGACAATACAATTCTTAATAAATGGACAACAGAACCAAATGGCATTCGTGATAGTGTGCCATGGAGTTGGTTCTGACTCATAGCAACCCTGTATAGGGTGTCCAAGGCTGTAAGTCCTTATGGGAGCAGAAAGCCTCATCTTTCCCCCATGGAATGGCTGGTAGTTTTGAACTGCTGACCTAGAGGTTAACAGTCCGATTCATAACCACTACGCGACCAAAGCGCCTTACAAATACCAAACAGGTGCCCCAAATTGATGAACAATTGCAAACATTTTGAAGTAATTTCTTTAAAATGTTTGCAATTAAATAAAAGTTAATTTGTATTTACTTACTATTCTTATTGATCAAAGATTTGGAAGCCTCCCTATTCTGAATTGTTACTGTGTAATCCTAAATCTGCAAAGACACTATGAAAACCAGGTTATTAGTAAAATGGACTTTGGTACATCAAGCCTAAATTATCAATCTGGATTCCCAAATCAAGCTCATTGTTGAAGTCCTATTCCAAGGTCAGCTACAGATGGAATCAGGAAAGAGACAAGGAGAGATCACCCAGGTGGATGCCAGGTGAGGTGCGTTCTGTAGACAGTGACTCAGGTGAGGCTGACTGCCTTCTACCTGGAGCAGGATGCTCAGCTCTAGCTGACTGCATGTGAGGGTGGGGGATTGATTACAAGGCACAGATAGAAAGTAGTAGCCGTCGGTAATGATAGCTGCCTCTTACATTCTGCTCTCTGAGAAGGTTTTAAATTATTTTAACTGCATGCATAATTACTTTTACTACATTGGATGATGCGTGGTCTTCAGCCGTTATTCTCTTATAGTCTGTGTGGTTGCACAAGGAATGAATAATACTGGCGTGATGACCCATCTGCCCAAAGAAACTTAAATGCAAATAGACTGCCAGCAATTATGTCCAAAAACAAAATCTAAAAGAGCTTAAAATCAATCAAGTTAAATACATGGGAAGAGACAAAACCAATTTAGTTTAAATATTTTTTTAAGCACTGGCTGTAAATATTAATCTTTTAAATTTCCATTTTAATTTGACATCTATTGACTTAAAAAATTATCCCAATTGCTTTTCACTCACTATTTACAGGTTT